TAAGACTGGAGAAGGTCTTAATCCTTGGGGATTTTAACCTGCACATTGAGGATACTTCGGGTCTAGGTGCTGATTTTGTATCCATGACGGAAGCTATTAATTTCACGCAGCATGTCTCAGGCCCCACTCACGTGAAAGGCCACACATTAGATCTGGTCTTTACACTGGGCCTGCAGGTGGCCAATGTGAGTGTTGAGGATGTGCACCTAAGTGACCATTACGGTGTATTTTTTGACCTGCTGGGGTCTTCAGAACCTCGCCCTCTACCTGCTGAAGTTGTGAGGAGGATTATAACAGAATCAACTGCAGAAAGGTTCTGTGAAAGCTTTAACTCCTCTGTTGTGTATGACTGCACCAAAATGGATGAGCTCATGTGCTCTTATTATAGTCACTGTACAACCATCTTGGCTCCTTTTAAAACTATTAATCTGGATCATCAACAGACATCAATTAGTCCCTGGATTAATGACACTGTTGTGAATCTGCGGAGATCCTGCCGTAAAATCAAACGCTTGTGGCATTCCAACAAACTTGAGGTTCACAGACTGCATCTGAGGGACCTTGTCGCCTCTCTTAACGATCAATTAGATGAGGCGAGATAAAAAATTGTCTCAAATAAGAGAAACCCCAAGGTGCTCTTTGACACCATCAATTCTATTGTCTCTCCTGCTGTCGCTGTGCAGTGCAGAGCAAGCTGCACTGAGTTCCTGAACTTCTTTATTGACAAGGTTAGAGAGATTAAAGATAATCTTCCTTCCTCTCCTTCCTTCAGTCAAGCTCACATTGACCCTCCTCCTCAGAGCTGGTCGTCCTTTGAGTCAGTCACTCAAGAGGATATTTTATCCACTATAAAATGTATGAAAGTGTTGTGCTGTCCTCTAGATGCTGTCCCGGCTCGGCTTTTTGTTAATGTTTTAGAGTCTATCGGTCCGTCTCAACTGGTGTGTTCCCGTGCTCTCTTAAACATGCTCTTGTGGAGCCCCAATTAAAGAAACCCAGCTTGGACCCAACAGATCTTCAGAACTTTAGGCCCATATCAAAGATCCCGCTCTTGGCCAAAGTCCTGGAGAAGCTATCCTGTAATCAATTTACAGCGTTCTTGGAGGCTAATGATATTTTTGACACCTTTCAGTCTGGTTTCAGGAAGTTCCACTCCATTGAAACAGCCTTACTGAAAGTGTCTAGTGACATCATGATGGCTGCCGACTCCGGTAAATGTTCCATCCTGGTCCTGTTAGACCTATCGTCTGCCTTCGACGCGGTGGACCATGGCATCTTGGTCTCTAGACTGCGGGATGTGGTTGGCATGTCGGGCTCTGTGTTAGAGTGGTTTAAATCGTACCTTACAGGTAGAACCTTCTGTGTGTCCTCAAACAACGTGGTGTCTGAATCTGCAGACCTACAGTTGGGTGTACCCCAAGGCTCCGTTCTTGGGCCTATTTTATTTATGATGTACCTGCTCCCTCTAGGCAAGCTGATCCAGCAGTTCAGTGAGTTCTCCTACCACCTGTATGCTGACGATCTCCAGCTGTATTGCTCTTTTAACCCCTCTGAACCCCAGAGACTTGTTGCTCTCACTAACTGTCTAGACAGAATAAAGATATGGCTTAGTGATAATAGCCTCCAGCTGAACTCTAGTAAAACTGAAACCTTAGTCCAGAACCTGTTGATGGTCCCCCGCACTCGCTGTAAAACCAGAGGAGACAGATCCTTCCAGGCAGTTGCTCCTCACCTTTGGAATGGGCTTCCTCAGTCTCTGCGCATCTTAGAGACTGTTGATGATTTTAAGTCCCAACTTAAGACGCATTTGTTTATACAGGCTTTCTTGGCTTACTGTTCATAAGCCTCTGTGAACTGTGTTTTTCTGTGTTTTGTTTTTAATCTGATTTATGTGTGTGTGTTTTAATCTGTGAAGCGCTTTGTAATCCTGGTCTGTGAAAGGCGCTATACAATTAAACTTTATTTACTTACTTGCATTTTAAAAGCCTCTGGAAACGGTCCAGATTGAAGAGAATTATTGACAATCTGTAAGATATCTGGTGAAATGCAGTCAAAAATATATAAAAAAAAATCTGTAGGCAAAACATCCAGACAGGAAGATGTAGATTTTAACTGAAAAACATCTATCCATCCATCCATTTTCTTCCCCTTAATCCATTTCTGGGTCGGGGGGGTGGCAGTCAGAGCTGCACACAGTACACAGAGCACCAGCCCCTCACTGATCCTCCTGCAGGTGCTGAGTCCACAGGAGCTGAGATCTTTCAGTGGGGGCTTCAGGCAAAGTGGGGTTGAGTGTCTTGCCCAAGAACACAACAACAGCAGTCATCAGTGGGAGTCATGAAGTAGGTCTCAAGATGGATTCGAACCTGCGACCTTCAGGCCCAAAGGTAGGGCCGGTGCACAAGGGTTGCTAGCCTGGCCTTATCCATCTGTACACTCCGTTCAATCATCATTTCACTGCATGTAACGTCTGGGTCTAGTCCCTATGTTTGCAATCACAATCGGTTGAATTTCGACCGAACATTCAGAGAGCGCGGATGGCAGGTGTTGTAGTTAGTTGTGGGTGATGTCAGGTCCAATATGTGGCCCTTGTTGTGTGTTGGATAGGTCACTTGCTGTTGGAGATCAAAATTGTCCAAAAGGTTTAAAAATGACCTGACATGTCGATCAGTTAGATCATCAACGTGAATATTAAAATCACCAACCAAGATAATGCAGTCAAAGTCTATACAAATAATAGATAAAAGTTTTTCCATTTCATCCAAGAAGAGTGCATCATACTTTGGAGGTCTGTAGATGGTTACAAATACTGTGCAGCGGGAAAAGGAAATAAATTTAAGTACAACATATTCAAATGACTCAAATCTCCCAAAATATATTTTCCTGCATTGAAAAATATTATTAAACAGAACTGCAACTCCTCCTTTTTTGTTCCGTCTTACTTCATTCATAAAGCTATAGTTTGGAGGAGGAGACTCTATGAGAACTGCTGCGCTATTGTCAGAGTCTAACCAGGTTTCAGTTAAAAACATAAAATCAAGGTAATGCTCCACAATGTAATCATTAATTTAAAATGACTGCCAACAACCTCACATTTAAAAGTCCAAGATTTATTATTACAGGATCCCCTTCTATATTGGATTTTGTCAAATGGGGAACACAGGAAATTTCAATTAAATATGATCGAGTAAGATCAGTTCTTTTGGCCACGTTTTTCTTGCAGCTAGAGAGTTATAAAAAGATGGAATTGGACAATCTTCTGGAATGTTGGGCTCTGGCATTTCTGCCTTGCTAGGTCCAGGTCCCATTTCATGTCAGTTTGTATTGACAAACTGCTCATGCAAAGTTGACTGCATTCCTATTTTTACAAGACTGTTCATCTCAGCAGTAAACTCCAGAAGAGAAGAGGATGAATTGAGCTCTGGGGAAGGAGGATGTGACTTAGGAGAGATTTCCATGTGTGGGGGGGTAGGGGCTGTGACTGCTCAGGGATATCTGCAGGTGAGGTGGGTGTGGCCTCTGCTGTACCCTGACACCCACTTCTATGTTGTAGTCCATCGTTCAGGATAAACCTTTCCTCCAGATTGTGAGTCATTTCCACAGTTTTGAACTTTTTATCAACACTGTGGCGTAGGAAGAAGAACAGGTTGGACAAGAATAGTTTGATTCTCAATTTGTTTAAACTAAGTCCAACTTCTTTGAAAAGAAGTCTGCGATCCCAGAAGAAATTAAAATTATCAATGTATTGCAGTGAATGCACTATGCATGCCGTTAACAGCCATGTGTTCAGTGCAAATAGACGGCTGAATCGTTCTTGTCCTCTTTTAGTGGGTGGTAAGGGCCCACTGATATTAGCACTCAAGGAACTGACTGTGTTTAGCAGATTACTAAAGTCAAAGATCAGCATCTCAGACTGACGTTGGCCCCTAGGTGCAGGATAATGGTTTTCACATTAGGGTTGTCTGCAACAATACTCAGAATCTCAGAAAGAGTCATATCAGAGACCTTATTTTTTAGGGAAGCTCATGACCTTGATGTTTTTATTGCTTCGCACATGTTTTATGGCAGAATCCCCCACAATTAGAGTGTGAGGCCCACTGGTTATTTTTTCATGCACTTCGTTGACCTTTGACGTTCTCTCAATACACACCTGTTCTTGATGTTGTTGTGAGTTTTTCAGGTCCGATCTAAGTGCTGGGTGATGCAATGGAGCAAATCTGTTTTTTAACTGAATGTTTGTTTGCTTGGGACTTTTATTTCTCACTTGTCCTTTGGCTGGTAGCCAGGTCTTAGTAATAGTGTGCATAGGTGTTGAGGTAGATGATAAAAGGGGCCAACCACTTGCATCACATATTTCTGGACGCTGGGTTTTAATGTTACTCATGTCCCATTGAAGTGATTTAGATTTTGGCCTAGCACCGAGGTTGCAATTCTGTACAGCCTTATTTGAAATCAGGCCTGATTTCTTTAGGGCACCTGGGCATCATAGCTGTAGCATTATTGTGAGAGAGGGGTAGAGTCACATCATCCATATAGAGAGCATTTACCTCTGTGTTTATCTCCAGTGTTTATCTCTATTTAGTTTCTAAAACAGTAATCTTCTGCAGTACTTGAATGTAATCCTGACGGATGACATCTTTATGGTCTTTTCCTAAGTAGTAGCAACCAGGCCAGTGGCTTTGTATTGCGTAGGCCTTGATCCACTGGGCCCCCCGGAGCAGTAGCAGCAGCAACAGTGTTAGCAGGCCTTTCACAGCAGCACTGCTCCTCCTCAGCACACACCTGCAGCATCAGGTGTGTCCTGGTGCTGCAAGTGTGCACAGTTAAAAGTATGGCATCAGTGGAAGTGGAAACAAATGTCGACCAAAGTTATTGAACCTGAACCAGACTATAGCTCCAGAAAGAGGAACTCCTGTCGAGCATGGACCGCACAGATCTGTGCTCCACACTGATGGAGACGGTTATTGAGAACATGTGTGTTGTTTCTTATGTGTGTGCAGCATCTGTGGGAAGACCTCATCACTTTTGTCCAAGATAAGGTCAAGAAGTTCCACAGGCTTCTGAGCACAGATTACCCAGAATGCTTAGAGCCTGTGGAGGATGAGGAGCAGAGGAGCAGCAGTGAGGCGCTCCTGAAGATCATACTGAACTTCCTGAGGAGGATGGATCAGAAGGAGCTGGCTGAGCGTCTGTGGAGCAGTAAGAACACGTTCATGATGGTCATGTGATCTTCTCTGACTCCTGTCTCTGTTGTCTTCATTCAGGGGTTTCTTCTGGACGTTCTCAGCGTAAACTGAAGGTGGATCTGCAGCAGAGGTTTGAGTGTGTGTTTGAGGGCATCGCTAAAGCAGGAGCCCCCACCCTCCTGAAGCAGATCTACACCGAGCTCTACATCACAGAGGGAGGCTCTTCAGAGGTCAACCAGGAACATGAGGTCCGACACATGGAAGCAGCCTCCAGGAGACCAGCAGAGAGAACCATCACATGTGAAGACATCTTTAAAGACCCGGCCCACTCAGACAAACCAATCAGAACGGTGCTGACAAAGGGAGTGGCTGGCATCGGGAAAACAGTGCTCACTCAGAAGTTCAGTCTGGACTGGGCTGAAGGCAAAGCCAACCAGGACCTGCAGCTGCTGTTCCCCTTCACTTTCAGAACTCTCAATGTTCTGAAGGACAGAAGCTTCAGCCTGGTGTCACTTGTTCATCACTTCTTTAGTCAAACACAAGCAGATCTCTGCAGCTTTGAAGACCTCCAGGTGCTCTTCATCTTTGACGGTCTGGACGAGTGCAGACTTCCTCTGGACTTCAGCAGCTCTCGTGACCTCTCAGACCCCACTGAGTCCGTCTCTCTGGACCTGCTGCTGGTGAACCTCATTAGGGGGAGCCTGCTTCCCTCCGCTCGCCTCTGGATCACCACACGCCCCGCAGCGGCCAATCAGATCCCCGAAGAGTGCGTCTCCATGGTGACAGAGGTCCGAGGGTTCAGCGACTCTCAGAAGGAGCAGTACTTCAGGAGGAGGTTCGGAGAACAGGCCGACACAGTCCTCTCCCACATCAAGACGTCCAGAAGCCTCCACATCATGTGCCACATGCCAGTCTTCTGCTGGATCACTGCCACAGTCCTGGAGCATGTGTTGAAGAGCAGAGAGAGAGGAGAGCTGCCCAAGAGCCTGACGCAGATGTACAGCCACTTCCTGGTGGTTCAGGCCAAAGTCAAGAACATCAAGTATAAAGAAGGATCAGAGACAGACCCACACTGGAGTCCAGACACCAGGAAGATGGTGGAGTCTCTGGGAAAACTGGCCTTTGAGCAGCTGCAGAAAGGAAACCTGATCTTCTACGACTGTGACCTGAGCGAGTGTGGGCTGGACGCTGCAGCCGCCTCAGTGTACTCCGGAGTCTTCACACAGGTCTTTAGAGAGGAGCCAGGCCTGTACCAGGACAAAGTCTACTGCTTCATCCATCTGAGTGTGCAGGAGTTTCTGGCTGCTCTTCACGTCCATCAGACCTTCATCAACACCGGAATTAATGTGTTGGTAGAGAGAAAGTCCATAACGACCTTGATCTTCAAAAGAGATCCTCTAAGCTTCTACCAGACAGCTGTGGACCAGGCCTTACTGAGTCCACACGGACACCTGGACTTGCTCCTCCGCTTCCTCCTGGGCCTTTCAGTGTCGACCAATCAGAGCATTCTAAAGGGTCTGCTGACACAGATAGGAAGTAGCTCTCAGACCAATCAGAAGACAGCAGAGTACATTAAGAAGAAGCTGAGTGAGGGTGTGTCTGCAGAGAGGAGCATCAGTCTGCTCCACTGTCTGAATGAACTGAATGATTCTTCTCTGGTGGAGCAGATCCAACAGACCCTGAGGTCAGGGCGTCTGTCTGAAGGACTGTCTCCTGCTCAGTGGTCAGCTCTGGCCTTCATCTTACTGTCATCAGAAGAAGATCTGGACCAGTTTGAGCTGAGCAGATACTATGCTTCAGAGGAGGCTCTCCTGAGGCTGCTGCCAGTGGTCAAGGCCTCCACCAAAGCTCTGTGAGTCACCTTTGTTTAACACAGGATTCCTTAAACTTCTACATAACCATGTTTTCTGTCTCCAGACTGAGCCGCTGTGAGCTGTCAGACAGAAGCTGTGGAGCTCTGGCCTCAGTCCTCAGCTCCCAGTCCTCTAGTCTGAGAGTTCTGGACCTGAGTCACAACGACTTGAAGGACTCAGGGCTGAAGCTGTTGTCTGATGGACTGAAGAGTCCTCACTGTAAACTGGAGACGCTCAGGTCAGAGGGTTCATATGATTCACTGTTCTTACAGAACCTGTTGGTCATTGTTTTGGACAATACCAGTGGACAAAGACAGTTAAAGATAAAGGACTTGTTCTGTGTCTCATTTGGGTTGAATGTTTTGAGTGATTACAATAATGTGTGTGTTCAGTCTGTCAGGTTGTCTGGTGTCAGAGGAAGGCTGTGCTTCTCTGGCCTCAGCTCTGAGGTCCAACCCCTCCCATCTGAGAGAACTGGACCTGAGCTTCAACCATCCAGGAGCCACAGGAGTAAAGCTGCTGTCTGCTCTGCTGGAGGACCCCCACTGCACCCTGCACACTCTCAGGTATGGTCTGTAAGGACTGAAGAGACATGTGACATCACACATCAAAGAATACATGGCCTTAGTGTGACAGATGTTTTAATGAGATTGAATGTGTTTCAGACTGGAGCATTCTGGAGCTCAGAGGTTAACACCAGGACTCAGAAAGTGTAAGTGACTTCATTAAAAGCTTAGTTCTTAAGTTTCCACCAGGCTGTCAGAGCGGCCGATATTGTTGGTGTTTTGAAAAGGGGATAGTTCTTTATCGATTGATTTAGGAAGGGCAAGTCTGAGTGAACAAAGTGATTGTTCAGTATCCATCCAGATTGACTCCGATGTGTTTGAGCGGATCCATTTATGTACTGTATGTACTGTAAGTGATTAGCCAATAATCATTTACAGTCTTTTTTTTTTTTTTTTAACAGCCACGTCATACACACAAGTCACGAGCTTTGGAGCTGGTTTAGTGGTAGCAACATTGACGGCTCCCCTCAACCTCCATCTTGCTTGGATGACGTTGTTTAGCCAAATGATTGATAGATGTAAACTGCCTTTGACAATGGCTTTCAAACAAGGGGTGGGACTTCGACTGACACAGACGAAAAGAGGCAGAACACACGAGAAAAGAAGCAGGTTTTACGCAGCACGTAATTACACTTTATTAAAAACAAAATCATACAGGAAGGTAGCTTTTAAACTTTTATGCTTTTTATGGTGATGACCTAATCTGAGTAAATGAGTTGCACATATTGGCACAAAGTGTGCCAAATAAAAAACTCTAAACTCTAAAACCTAGAGTCTGAAACTGTAGACAAATGTTTCCAAACAAAAATGACCACAGGGTTTAATATTGTGAGCTTACAATGAGGTATGTCTTTGTTAGGGTTTTATAAATGTAATATTTTAGGCAAGACTAAAAAAACAAGTTTTTTTCCCAAACTTCAAAGGATGCAGTGTGAAATATGAATGACAAACATCATTTTAGTTTATATTTATATCATTTTAAAGCTTATTTTCTCATCTACATTTATATACAATACAATTGTGTAAACAATATCAGACTTTGAATTCAAAAGATATAACACATAAAATGGGAACAGCAGAAATCACTTCTGAATTTTTTTTTCACCTTTGAGCTTGTGCTGCATAAATAAATCAGAATAAATCCTCTCCTCCCAGCTTCCTATGACTCTTTCTCTCCGTAAATGTCCATGGAAAAAGAATATCTTTTATTGTTTTTCCAAAAAAACTTCCTGAAAGAGCGTACAGGCTGCTGGAGTTTAGCTTGTGTTTTTCCCCAAACACAGGGTATGCTCGTGTTCCCCAACTCATTTGCTACAAAATGAGACTGTTCCTGAAGATATACGAGCAGGTGTTTGTCTGCAAAACCCCCGTGAATAAGACAAGCAGCCACCTTTTGCGCATGGTCAGTCTGCATTTGTTGTTAGCCAGACGGCTAGGGAAGGGTTCTTTTGCCAAATGATTGACATGTATAAGTAGCCTATAGGGAAAGCTTTCTAGCAATGGGTGGGACATAGGGGTACTTCGTTCATTTGTATCATTAGAAGCGTGCGTAGAGCAGGGAGAGAGACGCTACCTCGGAGCCAGCGCATATAATATATGCATGTACACTTCTAAAAAATGAACTTTGACATTTTTTTTTTTTAAATTACACAGATTAGCAACTTATAAGTACCAAAAATAAAAAAAAATGGTTTTTATGATGATCAAGAACATTTAGAAAAAAACTTGTCAGTAAAGCAATTTGGCACAATATGGCACAATTTGGCAAATGGCACTACTTGATGAAAAAGAGAAACTGCATCAAAACTGTAAAACTTAGAAGTCTGAAACTTTAGACAGTTGTTGCCAACAAAACAAAGACCATATGGGGTTTATTATTGTGAGCTTACAATGAAGTCTGCCTTTTTTAGGGCCTTAAGAAATTGAATATTTTAAGCAAGGCTAAAAAAACAGGTTTTTTTCCCAAACTTGAAAGGATACAGAGTGAAATAAGAATGACATAAACTATTATAGTGTATATTTAGATAAACTAGAAGGCTCTAGCTTAAAAATGATGCATCACACAAGCATGTGACATGTAAGATGTGTTTTTAAATAAGCAAAGACATTTGGGCCCAACTGTTGTGCACGAGCCAAAATGAGGTTGGAGTTAACCCTCTAGGCGCCAACAGACTCTGTCCAACAGACTCTCAAAATTCATTCAGGGAGTCTGCCACTAGTTGGCAGACATGTCAGACTACCTCCCTGGCCCCAAAAAACGTCATGCTCGCATACAAAAATATTCGAGCAAGACCGTGTTGAATCAGAGCGGAAATCATAGCAAAGCGAATGCAGTTGCGAGGGCTGCGTGCGAGTGTTATACCAAACAAACACTAACTTAACTTTGCACAGAGTCAGTGGAAACAGTGTTTCTCAGGGTTCAGGTCAGTCATAGGGAGGTTCGGAGACAGGTTAGATTTGCAAAGAACAAGCCTGGAACTCGCGTCGAGGCGCTGCGCCGCGACCTCCAGCCTCTGCTAAAGTCTCAGCTGATAGTGCTTCCCACTTACAGGTTTGTTTTCATGCCTCCAGTAATCACCGGGACAGTAACGCTTTGGAGAAGCCTTGTCTTATGTGTGTTAGACAAGAGAGAGCAGGGGAGACGAGAGAGAGAGCAGGGGAGACGAGAGAGAGAGCAGGGGAGACAAGAGAGAGCGAGAGAGAGAGCAGGGGAGACAAGAGAGAGAGAGAGCAGGGGAGACAAGAGAGAGAGAGCAGGGGAGACGAGAGAGAGAGCAGGGGAGACGAGAGAGAGAGAGCAGGGGAGACGAGAGAGAGAGCAGGGGAGACGAGAGAGAGAGCAGGGGAGACGAGAGAGAGAGCAGGGGAGACAAGAGAGAGAGCAGGGGAGACGAGAGAGAGAGAGCAGGGGAGACGAGAGAGAGAGCAGGGAGACGAGAGAGAGAGCAGGGGAGACGAGAGAGAGAGAGCAGGGGAGACGAGAGCGAGAGAGCAGGGGAGACAAGCGAGAGAGCAGGGGAGACAAGCGAGAGAGCAGGGGAGACGAGAGAGAGAGAGCAGGGGAGACGAGAGAGAGAGCAGGGGAGACGAGAGAGAGAGCAGGGGAGACGAGAGAGAGAGCAGGGGAGACGAGAGAGAGAGAGCAGGGGAGACGAGAGAGAGAGCAGGGGAGACGAGAGAGAGAGCAGGGGAGACTAGAGAGAGAGCAGGGGAGACAGCTGCAGCAGGAGAGTCGCGGTGACGCGCTTCACCTGGAGGCGCACGTCTGGGCAGACTGCTCACAGAAGCATCATGATTTGTATTTTTTACTATTTCCATGAACATTTACAATGTTACAGTGTGTGTTAAGTTATAGCCTTTTGAAATTAAGATGTCAAAATTGAGCGTTTAAGAAAAAAACTACAAAATCGAGCATTTTAGGAAAAAAGTCAAAGTCAAAAAATTTGAAAATGAGGACTGTTCTGGAGAAAGGAAGAGATTATATTTTTCACAGTGGGTCTTGGTCTGATCCAGAGCCAGGTCTGGTCCAGAGCCAGGTCTCAGTTTTCATCTCTAACTGCTGCTGTGTTGTGTTCTCAGATCTCTGTGATCTCACTCTGGATCCAAACTCCGCTCACAGAAACCTCAAACTGTCTGACAACAACCAGAAGTTGACACATGTGAGGGAGCAGCAGCTCTATCGAGAGCACCAGGACAGATTTGACACATGGGAACAGATCATGTGTTCATCTGGTCTGACTGATCGCTGGTACTGGGAGGTCCAGTGGAGCGGATGGGTTCATATATCAGTGAGTTACAGAAACATCCAGAGGAAAGGAAACAGTTATGACTGTGGGTTTGGACACAATCCTCAGTCCTGGAGTCTGAGCTGCTCTGAAGAAAGTTTCTCTGTTTATCATAATAAAAATGAAACCCGCCTCCGTCAGTCCAGGTCCTCCTCCTCTGGGACAGTGGGAGTCTTTGTGGACTGTCCTGCTGGGTCTCTGTCCTTCTACAGAGTCTCCTCTGAGGGACTGATCCACCTCCACACCTTCAGCTCCACCTTCTCTCAGTCTCTGGTACCAGGGTTTAGGCTCCTGACTGTAGGCTCCTCAGTGTCTCTGTGTCTTGGGTCTGAGCGAAAATCTGTGGGATCTGTCTCCTACTGTTAAAGCTGTTTACTCTTGACTTCCGGTTCTGCTAGCAAGAGGAATGGCAGCTTGATTTTGGAGCTCCCGACGGTTTTATTTGGAAAACTCCCAAAAGGTGCTTTTTTTTACATTCACGGGTGATATCTGAAAGATGGAAAAGGGAGTGAAGACAAGAAGCAAAACAATGACTAGTATAAACGAAGACAACATCGACGAAGATCATGACGACGAAAGCTGCTCTCCGGGGCTGGGTCTAGTCCACGGGCACGAGGGTGCACCCGAGCCGTCTCTTAAACACATCCTGAACGAGCTCCGTGATTTCAGGAGAGACAGTAATGAACAATATACGGACATTAAAAACAAAATTAAAAGAGTTAATGAAA